TGCGCCTCGTCCGCGCTCACCGGCTCCTCGTGCTGCTGCTTCCGTGGGGACGCCGAGGCGCAGCCGGTGAGGCGGTGCCGGCAGCCGCGGGGTCTCCCCGTGGCGTGCTCTGAGGGCTCCTCCCCGCGCTCGGCGACTCCTCCTGCCAGTGTCCGAGCTGGGCTGCCACGGCGTGGGCTGCCCTTGTCACGCCACCGCCTGTGGGCCGTTCACTGGCCCCTCCCCCTTAGACGACACACGCGGCTGGTGGGCTTAGGGAAACGTGAACGTGCCACTCTGACCGTGGTGGCCGAGGACCCAGGGCTGGTCCAGCCCACTCTCGGGCCCTGGGCCTGGGAGGGCAGAGGGGTGCTGTCTGCGCCGGGGGCTGGGCGGGGCTGTCGCCCCCCAGTGCTCCTGAGGTGGGAGGTGGCGTGGCAGGCGGGCGAGCCTGAAGCCACCGACTGCCTGGGAGCGTCCGGGCTGGGGTCTCGGGGCAGGACAGGCGGCCCGAGACCAGCACGGCCACGCGTGCCGTCCGACCGCTGCAGGTAGCCAGTGTGGGTCGAGGGAGCTGAACGCCCGGTGTCGAGGTTTGGCTGCGGGGTGAGCGGGCGGGCAGCCGCGTGCGGGAGAGCGGAGAACCCGTCCCGCTGCTGACGCGTGAGCGGACTCACTCTCCCTGCTCCTACGGGGCTTTTAAAAAGTTCGTGCGCGCACCACCCTGGCCTGTGGTCACGCTGGCTGTGGCCCCGGGCGCCGGTCACTCCCGTGTTCCCTTGGCCCGTGGGGCCCGTGCTCGCAGAGGTTGACCCCTTTGAAGTTGTCGTTGGGTCAGGAGCACACTTCTGGGGTGAGCCGGTGGGAGCGCGCTGAGCAGGGCCGGGTCTCCGAGTGGGGACGCGGGGTGGGCACGGCCCCCCCACGCCCGTTCGCGGGAGTCGCGCCCGTCCTGGGGGCAGCTGCCATCCTTATGCTTTCCCAGGGCCCGTGACTGCTGCGCTCTGCCACGTGACTCTCGTCCACGTTTGGTCTGAAGATTTTAAACGTCTCCTCTAGGAAGTTTGGGGAGCGTCCCGGCCTGCCCGGACTGTGCGTCCCCCTCTCCGACTGGGAGGGGTGTGGGGCCGCCCCCCACCCACAGCGCAGGCCTGGCTCCACCCAGACTCGCTGCCTGGTGGTGTCCGGGGGTGGGGGGGCCAGTTCTGGGGCTCCTGCCCTCTGCAAGGCTGGGCTGCTTTTGCACTGAGGGAGAACAGACCCTGGCGCGGTGGGCGAGGGCCGCTGCGGCCACAGGTGGCAGGAGGTGGGCTCGCACCCGGGCCCTGGGCTGCACCAGACACGCGGTGCCATGGGGAGCGCGGGGCTGGCGCGCAGCCTGGCCACCCTGGTGCCCTCGCCTGCGCCCGGTGGTGGTCGGGGCCCGCGCCCCACTCAGCACACTGACCGGCCTGGCCACCTGGCGACTCTTTGCCCAGCTAGGGAGTTTGTGTCTGCTAGAGGAGGCACGGGGTGCACACAGCACCCGTGACTTGGTGGGGCGGGGTGCTGGGCGGGCAGGGGTGGCGCCTCCCGTGGGCTCATGCGGGGCGGCCTGCGGCCCCCGGCGACAGACCCGCCCCTCCCGGCCGCCGCAGCCCCTGGTCTGTCTGGGACGCGTCAGTTCCTGGATGCAGCCACCGAGGTGGCTCCCTCGGGCCGGCCTTACAGGCGCCTGCGGGGTCGGTGGCCGCCCCGCTTCCCCGGGGCGGGGCGCGCAGGGGTGCTGGCGCTGCCGCGGGGCCGGGGTGACGCCTGCGCTCCCCGCCAGGCTCCACGAGGAGATCATCGACTTCTACGACTTCATGTCCCCATGCCCCGAGGAGGCGGCCATGCGCAGGGAGGTGGTGACGCGCATCGAGACGGTGGTCAAGGACCTGTGGCCCGCGGCCGAGGTGGGTGCCCGCCGGTCAGGGACCCCGCGCCGCGCCCAGCCCCGCAGCACCCCAGGCTGTTCCTGCATGCCCCTCCCGGCAGAGGCGAGCCCCACAGCCGGCCTGGCCCGCCAGCACCCCCGGCCGGGCGCCCCGCGCTTCCCAGAGACCAGCTGCCCCAAACGCGGTGCTGTGGGCGGAGACCTACGGGGTCGGCCCCGGCCCGGCACTTCTGGAGGGTGGCGGAGCCCCTGAGCACATGTGTGGGTGCAGTGCGACAGTCCCCCCGAGTTTAAGACACTGCCCTCTGGCGGGCTGGGCCCTCCTGGGGTGCTCGTCTCCCCCGCAAGGGCGGCGGGGTCTGGCTGTCGCGTGTTAAGCGGCTCCTTCTCCTTCTCCAGGTGCAGATATTTGGCAGCTTCAGCACAGGTCTCTACCTTCCCACCAGGTGAGCGAGCGCAGGCCGGTGCTGGGGTGGTGGCCATGTTTGTGGGGTGCGGGGCGGGGCAGCCCAAGGGGAGCGCGGGTGGCTGCGTGTGGGGAGGTGGATGCGGGGCCTCTGTGAGCGTCCTGACCGATTCCCTGGCCCCTCCCCCTGCACCCTGGCCGCAGGGACGGCGGGAGCTGCCTCTTCATACAGTGTTGATTTAGTTGCAGATTGCGGTGCAGGCCAGAGGTGCGGGGTGGGACCGCGGGAGCAGGCCAGGCGGATCCCCTGAGAGCCGCTGCTGAGAGGGCCGTGGGGAGGCAGGAGGGGTCTGCTGGGCCTGGGGGTCCCTCCCTGGCCTGGCGGTGACGGCGAGGCCCCCAGGCATGCTCTGAGGTTTCTTTTTGCTTTCTTAGAGCTTCAAGCAGACATTTTCAAGGCCAGTGGGGGTTTAGAGCTGTTCCCAGGCCACTTTGCACGGTTGCGTCTCTAAGGACTCTTGCCCTGCACAGTGTCCTCGGTGTCTTGCTTCGCTGAAAGCTGGTTTTCAGTTCACCCTCTGTTTGCCCTGGCACTGAGGAGGCTGAACACTCTGGGGCTGGCTTTGGCAAGGGGGTATGGGGGCGGGCTGGGGCCAGGCGGTGGGTCCCGGGGCAGCAGGCGTGCCTGCAGGCTGCAGGCGAGTGTGGACACTGCCCCCTGGGGCTGGACCTGCCGCCGACCTCGCTGCCTCCCCACGTCCCTCGAGGCCGGGCTGCGTGTGCCCTGGAGGGTGAGCCCGCCTGCGGTGACGCGCACTCTCCTCCCCGGCAGCGACATCGACCTGGTGGTCTTCGGGAAGTGGGAGCGCCCCCCGCTGCAGCTGCTGGAGCAGGCCCTGCGGAAGCACAACGTGGCCGAGCCCTGCTCCATCAAAGTCCTGGACAAAGCGACCGTGAGTGCGGGGCCGGCGCCAGGACCGGGGAGGTGGCCGGCAGCGCCCCGGCTCCTCGGGGCGGCGCCTCGCAGGTGCGCCGCGAGGGGCGGGCGCGGGCAGAGGCCCGTATCTGAAATCCAGCCTTGGCAGGTGCCGATCATCAAGCTCACGGACCAGGAGACGGAGGTGAAGGTGGACATCAGCTTCAACATGGAGACGGGCGTCCGGGCGGCGGAGCTCATCAGGAGTTACATGAAGGTGCGGCCGGCCGGCCGGCGCTTTCTCCTGCGCCAGGGGGTCCCTGCTGTGCGGACCCTGCGGCCCTCGCACGGAGCAGGCCTCGTGGGCGGCCGTCACGCCCTCGCGGTACCCTGTCGGTAACGACGGGCGTGGCCCTAGCCGGCTGCAGCTCGGCCTGGTCGGCGTGGCGGACCCCTCCCGGCTGTGCCCAGAGCCGCCTGGGGAGGCCG